TAACTCTAGCTCTTGGTGAATCTGATGTCTCTCCCATCTGCTGGCACCTGCACTCATACAAACATATATACATAATTCTAAATAAATAAATAAATAAATAAATAAATAAATAGAATTTTGGAATCTATTGTAGAATATTTCCTGGTTCCAGTCCCATTGGTTTCCTTTATCTATTTTTTCAAGTTTTTGTTTTCTATGTGAGTGTTCCTATAAGGGTAGGTACATGGGGGAACTAGTTAATGGTGTTGGATTTCCTGGAACTGGAGTTACAGGTACCCACCTACCATCAGTGCTAAGACTCAAACCCAACTCGCTGGAAGAACAGTAAGCTCTCTCAACCACTAAGCCATCTCTACAGACACTTCCTAAGCTCTTTCTCTGTGCCTTTATGGACTGAGGACTTCTTCTTTTCTTATGTTGAATATTAACACATCCCCTGTTTCCACTTAGGGAGTTTAATCCAGACCAGATGCTAACGTTAAGCCCAGTGATATCATACAAGCCTGAAGACCCAAGTTACATCCCTGGAACCCATATAAAGGTGGAAAGAGAGAATCATTTCCTCGAAATTGTCCTCTGACCTCCATACATACACTGTGGCATGCATGTCCCCACACACATAGAACATACAACACACACCTATTAAAGACATTTTAAAGCAAACTAAGATAAAATGGGACATATTTAAAATTCTAGAAGGTAGATGAATGTCTACACACAGCAAGATAATGACAAGATTGAATCAATGTGCTCAACCATATGAAAAAGGTCTTTGAGATGGCCGAGCCAGTAAAGGTACCTGCTTCTCAGTCTGATGACCTTAGCTTGATTCCTGAGACCCACATGGTGGAAGGAGAGAACCAAATCCCATACACTGTCATCTGATGTTCACAAAATATTCACATGCCTATCTACCACTGACCCTTAGGTATGCACACACAAAAAGGTATGAGAAAGAACAAAAATAAACCCCCCTGGGCTGGAGATATGGATCAGTGGTTAAAACACTTGCTGTATAACCTTAAGAGCCAGAATCTGGATTCCCAGAACCCAAGTAAATGTTAGGTTGTCCTGGCTGCCTGTCTAATTCCAGCCTCATGTTTGTAGACAGGATACCCAGGACAGGCTGGCTAGCAAGACAAGCTATAACGCTATGGAGTTCTAGGTTTGATTGACAGACTCTGCCTCAGTGAGAAAGATGGAAGACTGATGGAGGATGATTCCTGATACCAACCTCAGGTCACCAAATGCACCTACACACTTGTGCCCACATGTAAACATGCACACATACACATGTTCAATGCATGCACATATGCATGTGATACATACACAGACACATGCAGAGAGAGAGAGAGAGAGAGAGAGAGAGAGAGAGAGAGAGAGAGAGAGAGAATATGGAAAAAAGAAAAAGAAAAAAAAAGATGTTTAAAAATACCAACTTTCCTATAACCAAACAGAAAACAAGAAATAAAATACACTTCAGGATAGAATGGGGAAAAAATGTTTTTTGTTTTTAGTTTTGTTCTAGTTTTGTTGTTGTTGTTTGTTTGTTTGGTTAGTTTGGTTTTCTTGAGACAGAGTTTCACCATGTAACTCTGGTTGGCCTGAACTCACCAGGCTGTTCTTAAACTCACAGAGATCCACCCGCTTCTGTCTCCTGAGTGCTGGGAGTAAAGGCACATACCACACTATCGGGGCAACATCTTCTCTTTTTTAAAACAAAATAAATAATAGTAGTAGCTGCCCCCCATTCCCCAGGGCCTGTGACATTTGAGCCATGGGTTTTTGAGCAAGAGTGTAATGTAAGGCATGGATTTCCCCTTGTGGAGCAGGACTCAAATCCAGTCAGAATGGTTGCTTATTCATAAACCTTCAGGGCAACATTACACTAGTGGGCATACCTTGCCTGGCAGGTTGGTACTGTTTTGGATTCTTTGTATTACATAAATATCTGCGATTTGAACATGAAAATGTTCCCAGAAGAGCTCATATATTGAAGACTTGGTCCTTGGCTTGTGGGTTTAATCACTAATAGGGGACAAGACTAATGCGAGTTTATCTGCTCTCATTGGTAGATTAATCTCTTGATGGATTCTGAACAGGCTGGCAGTATTAAGAGGCGGTGGAAAGCAAGAAGTTGGGCCTAGATGGAGAAAGCAGGTCCCTGGAGATATGCCTTGAAAAGATAGTACCTTGTCTCCATCCCTCTCCTGTCTCTCCACCTCCTGGCTACAATGCAGGTAAGCCATCTTTGTTCCACATTTCCACCATCTTGGGCCTAAACACAATGGATCCAGTCAACCCCAAAATGAACCCTCTGAAACCAGAAACCAAAATAAACCTCTCTCTTTTTTACACTGTATTTGTCAGTGACTGGAAAGTGACAAACACATACTCTTAGAAGTTCGAAGTCACTCAAAGCTACACATCAGTGGCCTTTCTCCACAGCTTATACCTAGCTCCTGGTATAGCGATCTGCAGAAAAATTCAATGAGTGCTATTTTAAAGACTCAAATTAAACAATGTTTAACTGGGACAACCAAAGAGGAATTTATCCGCATAGGGAACGAGTAACTGAAAGGAAGCCAAAAATAACAGTTAGAGAAGAGATGACACTTCTTAAAGAATGACAAAGTCATGTAAGTATGAGTGTCATCATCATGAGTTTTGTCATCAGAGAGATCAGCTGATACCTCCTCTGACAGGAAATAAGAAAACAGAGTCATGTTTGCTAGAGGAAAGGAGGGTGATGATCCATGTTTCTGGATACAAAGGCAGACTAAGTTTCAACTCTGGGTCTGCCAAGTCATTGGGCCTCTCTGGACGGCAGTGCCCCATTCACCCAGCACAACCTAATTCTCCCACTATAGCATTGCCTGGAGGAACCTGTATCTCAAAGCACTCCTGACACTGCTGAGAAGAAGCAATATAAACTTATCTAAGTACCACCATTTCGTTTCCGACTTCATTTAATAGGAAAAAAATAAATTCAAGCTCCCAGGCCCTAGGGGACCTGGGGACTTCCCAGCTAAATAGCTTTTATTATGAGGAAAACAGTTGTCTGAGTCGAGACATCTCAAGGAAAACATTTCCTTATTGCCAGCAGGGCCTAACCAGTTTATGTTCCCAGACCCACAAGCCTGTTCCTAACCTGATCAGTGAAGACTCCCTTACTCAACCCCTGTAGAAATCATTTTTAAATTCCAAGTTTTCCTTTCCCAGCCCTGGCTTCTGGAATGACAACTCTGAGACTAGTTAGTTATTATTAAACAACTAGGCTATAAACTTTGGTTCATTCCCTAGGTTTTAACTTATCTTACCATTTAATCTATTCTATGTGTACCACTTAGTTAGTTACGTCTCCTTCGGTCCTGGCCAGCTTCTTCCTTCTCATCTCCTCAGCGTCTCCCTCAGTGTCTCTCCAAGTATCTCCCTCAGTGTCCCTCCAAGTTCCTCTACCTGCTGGTTTACCTCCACCTCCTTGGTCTGTCTCCTGTCTCCTATCTCACGGCTCTCCCCACTTCTCTCTTTATACTCTTACTATTTCCCAGAATCCTCTCTCTTCCTGCCAGTGTCCGGCCTCCTATTTCCTGCCTCAGCTCATGGGCCATTGGTGTTTTTACTGACAGGGGTGTTTATAGGAGACTCTCTCTACAAACCCCTTATGCTTTCCAAAATATGATTGGACAATGCTACAACCCGCCCAGCTCCCCCTCGCTTCATGGTTTTGTCCTTTAAATATGCTGTGCATTTTCTCCTCAGAGTTGTAGCTCAGCTCCGGAGTCTGTTCCGTGGTCCTGATGGCTCAGTAGTGGCTCAGTAGTGGCTCAGTAGTGGCTCAGTAGTGGCTTGATTTCTTACAATAAATGTTAGTCATCCACATTGACTAGTGTTTGAGTTTATGTTGTATTTAAGGAGACCCCTCCACAACACCATCAAGTAGAGACTAAAGGAACTGTTTGCTATTCTCACCCTAAGGACTCATACGGAGACCTGACCTCTTTGTACAGGCCTGAGGCTTTGCCGTGTGTAGCGGGGTGGGGGTGGGGGAGCTCTCAAGCAACATTTCAAAGAGGAAGTCCCCTTCCTGATTGTTGAATACAAATGTAAGACAGGTGCAGTTGTTTCAGGAAAAGCTCTGGCACTCAATCGCCCACTGTGAACTCCTGTTTAATAGGAGGAAGGGCGGAGAGAGCAGGATCAGGCCTTGAGGCATGAAGAAGACTGTTGGAAATGGTTCAATGTATGCAAGAGCCAAAAGTGATTTGGGATATTAAGGGGAAGGAGGGGTTTAAAAAAAAAGGGCAGAGGAGTTTCTTTTAAAGTGAGAGTAAGAGAGATAAGGGAGAAGATTGAAAGAGGGAGGAGGAGGGAGAGGGAGCACTCCCATGGTGACTGCCTCTGAGCCATAAACTGGTTGGCTGCTGGGAGGAAGACTATAGGAACCTCTTCCAGGAAATCCCCAGAACAGCCATTAAAGAACTCCATCAACCACAAAAAAATGTCTGACTTTTATAAACATTTCAAGGAGTACTAGGATACATGGTGACGGCCCTTGGGACTCAATCAGGTTTTGGAGTTGAAGCCCTTTGGCTCGGATTAGTGTCCTTATAGTGTTGCCTTACCCCTCCTCCCCTGTGACAACACAGTAAAAAGGCAACAACTAAGAGCCTGGCTCATCATTAGATACTATATCTGCTAGAGGCTTCTTCCTCTTAGAATTTCCAACTCTTGGGGCTGGGGATTTAGCTCATGGTAGAGCACTTGCCTAGCAAGCGCAAGGCCCTGAGTTTGGTCCTTAGCTCTGAAAAAAAAAAAAAAAAAGAATTTCTAACTCTCAGGATTGTGTGTGATAAGTTTCTGTTGTTGAATTTCTACCTCTCAGGATTGTGTATGATAAGTTTCTGTTGTTTAGCAATAGCCCAGTCAGTGTATGTATTGCTTTGGCACCTTTTGCAGCTTCAATGACAAGACTTAGACCTTGGTTCTCAGTCACTCACCAGGAGCCCGGCGCCTTCTTGATGGCTCCACCATCCATGGTGCTTTCCCTTTCTCCAACAAGGCGATGATATTTGGCCTCCTGCAGGCAAGACCTACACATGGGACAAATATCGGAATCGATCATTAAGTGGGTACCGCTAAAAGCAGAGCCAAGTCCTGTGCTAATGAAATGTGGGTTCACCATCACAGTAAGAACACACTGGGATGTGGGGATACAATGTGAGGGGCAAGTGCAGAATGGTGGGATGGTGGGAATAAGGGTAGGCATGGTGATCTTCTTTTCTATTTTTTGAGGGGACATGAGGTTTTGAGGCAGGGTTTCACTGTGTAGCACTGACTGTCCTGGAACTCATTTTGTAGACTAGGCTGGCCTCAAATTCACAGTGATCTGCCTGCCTCTGCTTTCCGAATCCTGGGATCAAAGCCATGTGCCACCACTTCCCTGAGGACATAGTTATTTCTAAGAAATGTAGATTCATGATTCCAGGCACTCAGCTCCTAAAAACTTTGACCCTCCAAAGTGGTGTCTTTCATATATGCTAATGAGATAGCAGACACACATGAGCTCTTCAGGATCAGCTGAAGAAATCAATAGTGATTATAACTTTGGCCTCCATCCTGTCCCCTGACTTCACAAGAGGGCTGGGGAATCAAATCAATTCCTGACTGATCAACTAAACCAATATAATGAAACCTTTATAAGCCCAAAGGAAGGGTTCAGAGAGCATCCAGGTTGCTGGACACACGGGGAGTAGCGTTCCTAGAGAGGGCGTGGAGACTGCACTCTTTCCTCCCCAGTCTCTCCTGGCTCATCCCTTCATCTGCATCCTCTGCAGCATCTTTTATGCTGAACTAGCAAACTTAAAGCGCACACCTGAGTTCTATCAAACCTGGGAGAGGGCGGCTTGTGGGAACCTCCAACCAGCAGTTAGCTGGGAACTCCAGAGGCCTGGGTTTGTGAATGGTATCTGTGGTGGTGTGAATATGCTTGGCACCTAGGGAGTGGCCCTATTAGGAGGTGTGACCTTGTTGGAGGACCTTGTGGGAGGAAGTGTGTCACTGTAAGGGTGAGCTTTAAAACCCTCCTCCAAGCTGCCTGAGGACACTCTTCTCCTAGTAGCCTTTAAATCAGAAGAACTCTCAGCTCCTCCTGCACCCTGCCTGCTCAGATGCTGCAGTGTTCCTGCCTTGATGATAATGGACTGAACCTCTGAGCTTGTAAGCCAACCCCAACTAAATGTTGTTCTTTATAAGAGTTGCCTTGGTCATAGTGTCTGTTCACAGCAGTAAAACCAAAACTAAGTCAGAATTTGAGGTAGGGATAGTCTTGTGACACTGAGCCCTTAATCTGTGGATCTGATAGTCAGGTAGATAGTCAGAATTACAATGTCAGCCTGCTATTCAAGTAAGCACTGTTTGGTACTGGGGTAACCTCCTGCTCTGATATTGACTATTCTGGGCTTGAATGGTTAAGTGTGAGAGTTGGTTTTAATTTTTCACATAGAGAAGATGAAAGCTAAGTTATATACAGTAGAATTATTTAATCTAACTCTATAAAATAGATTACTTTTCTGAACATAGGGTCAGGTGCTTCTGGCACAAGGTCTTACGCTATCATCTTTCAGCTCTAAATCACCCTCATCCTATAATCCACTGGTATGTTGGACCTCCATCCAAGGTTCTGAGGCTGAAAAAAGTATATGTATTAAAAAGCAAGTAGTATATACATTACTATACGTTAAAATAGCTATAATTGTTTTATATACACACAAACACACACACACAAACACACACACACACACACACACACACACAAAGGAAGAAAACAGCAACTGGATCCATTGAGGACTTACAAAGTGAAAGAATTTGACATTGCATGGCCTCAAGCTCTGCAATCTAAATGTGCCTTTTGCCAGTTTTGTCAGTTGGGGTTCTATTTCAATTTCCAGTTTTCTTTGACTCCCCTACTCGCAGAACTCATCTCATATAAGCAAACCAGACAGCACACCCCCCTTCTCTTTCAAAAATCCGAATTCTAGCTTTGCTTGGCTCTCCCTTTCAGCCTTATAAAGCCATCAGCTCCTCCCTTTCTCCCCCACAGCCTCCGAGGTGGTAGCTGCATCCCTGTTACACCTCTGTGTTGAATCAACGTTCAAGTTCACCTTTTAACACCTGCCAACTCCTTACAGAGGACCTGGGTTTGATCCCTAGCACCTACATGGTGACTTACAACTACCTGTGACCATGGTTCCAGAGGATCTGATGCTGTCTTCTGGCCTCCATAAGGTACCCGGCGTGCATACAGTGCACACACATACATGCAGGAAAAACACTCTCACACATAAAATAAAATATATAAATCATAAAAAAATGTGCAGTTTCCATACGACCCACTAATTTCATTTATAAGCATATAACCAAGAGAAATAAAAACATATGCCCCAAGACCTATTCATGAAGGCTTGCAGCAGTAATTCACTAAAAGTAGAGCAACATAGACACCCATTGGTTAATGAAAGATGAATGAAACAAACTCTAGCCATACAATGCCATGATTTAATAATACACTGGAATAAAGTACTGAGATAGATATGTGCAGCAATAGTTGTAAACCTCAAAACATTATGCTAAACGAGAAGTGGCCATATAGCTATGACTCAGTTTGTATACAAGGCTCAGATTAGCAAATCCAAAGAGACAGAATGACGGCTAGGGATTGCCCACTCTCCCAGGATATACAGACGCGGGAAATGCATTGCTCTTGACAACCAGGTTTCATTGGAGAGTAATGAAAAAGGTTCCAAAATTGATCATGGTAATTGATGTCTAACTCTGTGATTACAGAAAAAAAAAAAAAAAAGAAAGAAAGAAGGAAGGAAAGAAAGAAAGAAAGAAAGAAAGAAAGAAAGAAAGAAAGAAAGAACTGTGTAATTTAGAAACAGACACCACGCATAGACACTAAAAGAGTCTAACTGACACACACCCTGCACAGGCTGGTTCTGCATTACTGACCAGGGCTGTGGTGGGAAGTATAGGCCACAACACCTTACCAACTGAGACCAGATTGTGGTAGTTCTCCAGCATGACTTCTTCGTACAAATCCTTCTGACTGGGACTCAGCCATGCCCATTCCTCCTGTGAGAAGTGGATAGCTAAGTCCCCAAATGTCACTGGCGCCTGAAATGAAGGAAAAAGGACAAGTCTGTTCAACCACAAGCTTCACAAATGCTCTCTGCACGGCTGGAGAAAAACAGTGACTACAGGAGACACACCAGGACAGGGGTTCTCAGACCCAAGGAGCGGAGGCACTAGGTAATTTTAATAGCATGTAACCTAATAATGTAATAAGATGCCGGGCAGTGGTGGCGCACGCCTTTAATCCCAGCACTTTGGAGGCAGAGGCAGGCGGATTTCTGACTTGGAGGCCAGCCTGGTCTACAGATTGAGTTCCAGGACAGCCAGGACTACACAGAGAAACCCTGTCTCAAAAACAAAACAAAACAAAAAAACAAACACAAAAACAAAACCCCCAAAAACAACAAACAAACAAACAATGTAATAAGGTAATAAAACTGTTATTAAAGATTACGCTGCTTTAAAAAAAATACAGCAATTTGGACTTACTGGTTTTTATAGTTGAGGCATTTTCTTTTGTCTAAGTACCTAACTATACTGGTTCACTCCGTAATCACCCTTAGTCGTGGTAAGCCATTGCCAAGAGGATCGTAGTAATAGTACAAGTGAGGAAACTAAGACTCAGAGAGGTGAGGTAAAGTATCGCAGTTTACCTAATTACTAAATATGGCGCTGGCACTCAATCGTACAGTCTGGCGCCTTCCAAATTAAAATCCGTCCTTTAATCCGGTTAGCAATGGTTCATCACAACATAGGAAGATGAAGTGTACCGGGTTGGAGATAGTACACATTCATTTGGGTGTGTGCATGTGTAAGGGTATACACGTGCCAAGCAGATGGAGGGCCGAGGTCGACCAGCTGTTCTCCACCTTGTTTGTTGAGACAGGGTCTCCCGCTGAATCTGGAGCTCCAGGGAGCTACCCCTCTCTATCTCCCAGCAGTGGGATTATAGATGGATGTTACTGAACCTGGCCTGTATTTCTTCTTTTTTTCTGACTTTTTGTTTTACATTTATTTACTTATTTATGTGTGTACGTGGCGAGAGGTATGTGCCACGGTGCAAGGTGTATGTCAGAGGACAATTTGGAGGAGAAGTCAGTTCCCTCCTACCACAATGGAAGTCTTGGGAATCAGCCTCAGGTGACCAGGCTTGATGGATGGTGCTGTTATCTGCTGAGCCATCTCACGGGCCGGCACCTGGCTTTTTAAATAGGGATCCTAACTTGATCCTCCTGCTCGAATGGCAAACACTTAGCTGCCATCTTCCCCAGCTCCAGGAAAACTTAACTTATATAGAGTACCTGGGCCTCGCTCTGGGTTGGCTATTGGTATTGCTTCCATGAAAATGGGTGCAGGTTGGGGGGGCGGGGGGAAGGGCACACATACAAAATGCGAAAACAAACCATGCAGGACCATAATGACCGAGGGTTACAGTCACAGCTTACCTTGGATTTTGATTTCCCTCGGGCTGCAGGCATCCTTTCCTCACGCCTTTGATGGTCCACATTCAGAGACTGAGGCAGAGTGCTAGCAGAAAAGAGAGATCACGAAGCTCAACGGCCTTTGGAGTGGTTCTGACGTCCCACGTCCCCCAATCACCTCTTCCAGGCCAAGGCACCTGAAATAAGCCCCACCCCCCACTCCCTTTAGAGGCAGGAAGGGGCAAGAGGAGAATCACGCACCGTTGTGTGTTCCTAAGATGACAGTAGGCTCCTGGCCAGAACACTGGTGAACAAAGTACCGATGCCTGGACGTCCATCTGACGGCGGTTGACGACAGGTGCCAGTCACTGTAATGAGAACCAAAGCAGAAAAGTTCCTGTTTCCATGTACCATTTGTTTGGGTGGGGAAGACAAGTCCACAGGGCACGGAGTGATTTACGGTTAAGAGCAGGGATTTTGTTCGCTACTCCCAGAGCTGTCATACCCAGAGAAGCCGCGTAATAAAAACCACGTGCTGAGCGGGTAGCTCACTTGGTAGAGTGAGATGGCCTAGCATGCACTGAGCCCAGGGTTTCCACATCCAACATAACATAAACTGGGCGTGGTGGCACATGCATACCCTAAGAGGTAAAGCAAGGACCAGTATAGGGGACCAGAGAGTGACGCAGGGGGTGGGAAAGGCCTCTCATAGGAGGCAGCAGCAAGCTGAAGTCTGAATGGGAGCCTCAGGGTACAGGGAAGACAATTTTCCCAGGTGCAGCCAAGACCCTGTGCTAAGCACAGGCTTGATGTGTAGAGATAGAAGAGGGCTGTGTGCAGCCAGGAGTGGGAGGGGCTGGGGGGGATGGAACATGCCCTTAATCCCAGCTAGGGCTATACTGAGAGACCTCCCTCCCACCTAGACGTCCTATTCCACTGCCCCCACCCCCCCCCCCCCCCCCCCCCCTTTGGCAAAAAAAAAAAAAGTCTATGTGCTGAGACAGTGAGGTAAGGAAGGTTGGTGGAGCCAGATCAGGAAGGCGACGGTGAGCAGTTTCTGTGACATTACTAGGGGAAAGGTGAGAGGAACTGAGCAGGAGAGAGATAATTCAGGCTTTCTACTTAACAAATTTTGGAGGTGGCTACAGGTCATAAAAACAGCTTTGGTGACCCTGGAGAAAGCAAGCTGTGTAGTCATTAGGAAGCTATACCAAAAATGTGGGCAAAATGTGGCCAGTAGGGACAAAGGAAACCTCTTTACCCATGTGTCCACAAGAGTCTCCATCCTGAATTTAAGAAGCAGCGCCTGGCCACACCTGTTTGTTTGTTTGTTTGTTTGTTTTTTGTTTGTTTGTTTGTTTTTAGAATCTCACTGTGTAGCTCTGTCCCGGAAATCTATTTGTAAACCAGGCTAGACTTGAATTCACAGAGATCCACCTTCCACTGTCTCCCAGGTGCTATTGTGTGCTAGCATTAAAGGTGGCTGGCCAGGCGCCCTTTGTGTCCACTCCCCACAACCTCTCTACTGAAGTCCTCAAGCTACCTTGATAAGGAAGACATCCAACAGGTTCCACAGGTCAGGGGAGGATGCACCTTTCCCTCAGGACCATATTTGGGCAGACACCAAGAAGCCAGATGCTTGCCTAGAGGTAAAAGGAGTGTGTGTGTGTGTGTGTGTGTGTGTGTGTGTGTATGGTGGGGGGTGCATCACTCCTCAAACCAGAATCTCTGCTAGAGGTGAAAGATGGCCAAATTCCAAATGCAGACACACAAACTCCTTTGGAATTCATCACTACAATCCTACCTGTACACAGGCCAACAACACAATACTAAACCTCCACTCTCGGCACTACAACAAAGGCCAGACCCTACACTGCACACAGGATGTCCCAGGCATTATACAAGGCATTTCACCTGTATAATTTCATATTCCATTTAGCCTTTCCATCAACACTCTGATGAGTGCCATTTATCCCTTTGTACAGAAGGAAAAGACTCATCCTTAACAGGTTCAGTTTCCCAGAGTAAGGCCATCACATCTCCTCCTCTAGAGGAGCCCGTTGCCACGGTAACAAATGAGATGAAGCACAGTCAATCACACACTGGCACACACTCACAAAGCCATTGTCATCTGGTGGCTCACACTATCTCTAGACTTTGATAAACAACTTCATCAGCCTCTCTCTCTCTCTCTCTCTCTCTCTCTCTCTCTCTCTCACACACACACACACACACACAGAGACACTTTCACACCTGCACAGCTAGGGTCAATAGAGATGCTCAGAACTGTGTGCCCACACCCTCGGCCTCCTCCAGCCTGCAGTGGCTTCCTTTTCCCACTACGACACTAATCAGTTCCTGTACAGTCACCTATTCCTGGGCCCCACGAGCCGAGTGGCCCCAGACTACGATAAATAGCTCCATCAGTCTGTCACACTCACACACAAGTACAACCGAGATGCTCAGAACTCTGTTTCTATATCCACTAGCGGCCCCGTCCCGTAGTGTCTTCCTTTACACGCGTCACACTGGTCACATCACGCAGTTGGTGGTATTCGCACCTGTTTCTTGGGGCTCACAGGCCTAGTTAGTCTCTGTCTCTTTCTCTCTCTCCCTCCATTTCTCTTCTCTCTCGCACACACATGGGAGTCGCCTGAAGGATTCTCATACTGTGTCCACGCCACAACAATACACGCCAAGCGTACACAAAGCTTCAGGATTCACCAGACCCCTCACCTGTCTCCCTGCTGCGTCCTCACAGCTGCCACAGAACTGCCAGAGACAGAGTCCCCGCGCCTGCGCACTAGCCTCCCGGATCCACAGGGATCCCTGCTGGGCCTCTCCCCCCCCCCAACCCTCCCACCCCCGCCTCTCGATCGAGACGTCGGCCAGTGCGGCCCCGCCCCTAGGGCTTCCCCGGGAGCGCAGAGCCACGCCCCCTGACGCGCAACCCGACTAGGCTCTGGCAGAACCCCGGAGACAGCGTGAAGCCACGCCCTTATCTAATTTGCATAGCGAGCAGAGAGGCCGGCTGCTCTGCGGTCCCTGTGTGCACTCCTACGCTAAGCGCTTTTCTAAGGGGTTCCGCCAAGCTCCGTGTCTCTGCAGCAAGCCTCCATCCGGGGGTGCGTCTAGCGTTCCACATCTCGGGCTCACTGGGCTTCCACGCGCCTCACGCCGTGCGCGACAGTGAGCTAGTGCTACCAGCCTCCGGCTTTGGCAAGGGACTGAGAATGTCCACGCCCGGAATCTGAAGGAAGGGCGTTTCCCCCACCACGTTGTCTGCTGTCTGGAGACCTTGTGACCCTGAGGGAGTAGGACAGATTTTCCTCTGTGGCTCTTCCGAAAGCCACAGGGGAAATGATGGACAGGTGAGAAGGAAGAAGAGCATCCCATCTTGGAGTCTGATGGAAGACTCTCCACAGCACAATTCAACACTGCTTATTAAGGCCTTACTTCCTCCCAAGCTATAAACCTAAAATTTTCTAGGAATTTCAGTAGAAATCCCACTTAAAGGGGAAAGGCCTGTCTTAAACCTCTTGAGCAACCCTAATGATTTCTGGTTCTACGTTATCAAATTATAACTCCAAGCTACTTCCGGGGCCACCTACTTCTCACCAAGGAGAAAGGGGGTGGGGATAATATTTAAGGAAACTCTAGGCTCAATGAAGGACAGGAATGGCTCGGGTTGCACAGCAATCACCAGATAAGGGTAGACTCGACACCAGACTGTGTTACGGCATCCCTTAGCAAGAACACAATCACTGGTGTGTGCACAAGTGAAATCCTGTCAGCTGCACAATTCAGTATATCTAACCTCTATATAAACATAAGTGCCTAGAGAAATTCAGTCAAGACAATGATGAACGTCAGCCGTGACACCTGAATGGTCTTTGTGTGAGGAACACTGTTCTTAAAGACCCTATAGCTCTCCCAACAGCACTACTGAGCAAATACTGCAATTTTATTTCACCGATGGGAAAACCGAGGTTCCAAGCACGGCTCCAAGTGCAGCTCAGATTCTCACAAGTCTTTTGAAATCTCCATCTCTCCAGGAGAAACTATGACGTTACCAACAAAAGAGGCAGGACTTTCGTTATCTTGGAGAGCAGAAAGGGAGAGACTAAAGGCTGCATTCACTTCCCAGTGAATGAAAAACATAAAATAAAAAGGAAGCCACATGACTGTCTCTAGTTATGGTAGAGGAGAAGGTTTATTGTAGATAAGTGGAAGACAAAGTCAGGGACGTCTGAGAGAGTCCAAAGTGAGCATGACCATAAGCCATATGAGGAGAGGGAGGAGGGGAGAGAGGAGGGCTAGACCAAGAGGCCGGGAGGCTAAAGAGAGTAGGTGAAAGGACCAGGTAACCAGGTATTGTATTGTATAGGGAAGGACAGCTGGGGGAAGGGCAGCCTAACCACTGGGCTGGAGAAGTTTAGGGTAGAGGGCAGAGTATGTCTGCCAGGAGTGCCCTGTAATAGGTACAGACTGAGAAATGCTGGGGGACCCGGGGGGTTTTCTATAATATTTTTTTTTTTTTTTCCGACAGGATTTCTCTGTATAGCCCTAGCGTACTGGAACTCACTCTGTAGACCAGGCTGGCCTCAAACTCAGAACTCTGCCTGCCTCGGCCTCCCAAGTGCTGGGATTAAAGGAATGTGCCACCACTGCCCAGCTACCCTTTTAATATCTTAAGTAGACACTTTTGTCCCAGGTTTGAGACTTAACACCCAGGAGATCTCTTGGGACCTCGGGAACGTGCCTAACACGCCTTGCGGGCTCAGACTACCCTCTCCTGTCATACTTGCAACTGGCCAGTTGACCCAGAGGAAATGAGGAGAGGGCACGCCTCAGTATGCTTATGCCACCCTGAAATGTGTCCTTTTCCCTACTGGGAACGGGAGGATACAAAGCTGAGGAAGGGATTTAGAGAGAAGAGCAGCCACGAGGCAAACAGAAAAAAATTGTATGGAAAAGGCCATAAAGAAACTTAGAACTTGGGGCTAAAGAGATGGCTCAGAGGTTAAGAGCACTGACTGCTCTTCCAGAGGTCCTGAGTTCAATTCCCAGCAACCACATGGTGGCTCACAACCATCTGTAATGGGAACCGATGCCCTCTGACAGTGTACTTATATAAATAAATAAATAATAAAAAACCTTAGAACTTGTACATACATATACATATATAAACACATATATTCATATATATTTATTAAAATGAAGAAGTGAAGAAAGAGAAAGAAAGCGAACAAATAGGCTTCTCCGCCAGAATCCTGCTTTCTCAAGACACACAGTCTTTCTCCCAACACCCAACCGACTGTCTAGCGTTTCTCTGTCTCCAAGGCAACACAACTTGTAGGCTTGAAGTGGCGCAGCGACTTCTGGGTATTGTAGTGTCAAAGTAGCAGAGAGGCATGAGGTGCGCTTGTCAATAAAACGGAGTTTATTAGCAGAAATGTCTGAACCAAGGAATGGTTTGGGAGACGGAAAACACTTTGCAGCTATTCTTAGGGTGTTAACATTTTGTTAGGAAAGAGGGAGAAGAAAAGACAGGGCGCGAAGGTTTGTGGGAATTGTAGTTTTGCATTCTGTGGCTGTCTGGTGACGGAAATCATGAGACTGCCGCCTCCTGGCAGATGTGAAGACAGCAGGCCCTGCACTTACCCTGATTCCCAAAGATAAAGTAGTGCATAGAACCGGTATATAGCCTTGAACCTTATTCTATTTTTTTAAAAGATGGTTTTATTTTATATGTGTGATTTGCCTTCCCGAATTTAAGTATGCCATATGTGTGCAGTATCAGCAGAGACCAGAAGAGGGCGGCAGATCCTCTATAACTAGAGTTACTGACAGTTGTGAGCTATTGTGTGAATGCTGGAAACTGAACTTGGCTCTTTTGCAAGAGGAGCCCTGTTTTTAACTGCTGAGCCATCCTCTTGTGTTTTTGTTTTGAGATAAATTTTCATGTATTCCGGGTTGGCTTGAAACTCAATCTGTAGTCAAAAATGGCTCTCAAACTCCTGAGTCTCTGTATCCACTGTTTAATAGAGGTGCAGGAATATGGGTCCATTTTCTCTGCCAATTAAAGTATTAAAAGACAAGAGATATGCAGAGTAGTGGTGGCACTTGCCTTTAATCTCACTACTCGGGAGGCAGAGGCAGGTGGATCTCTGTGAGTTCAAGGCCAGCCTGTTCTACACGTGAGTCCAGGACAGCTAGGGATACACAGAGAAACCCTGTCTTATTCTATTTTTTAAAAGATAGTTTTATTTTATATGTGTGATTTGCCTTCCCGAATTTAAGTATACCATATGTGTGCAGTATCAGCACACATATGGGGGGGCAGGAGGGGGCAGGAAAAGGTGTTACCAGAAATCATGAGGAGTCCCAGCAGAGCCATCACATGACTGGAGAAATCAGAGTTCATCTTGGGTTTCTTATTCTCGTTAATAACATAAGTTAAGAAGGGTCACAGACACTCAGGAGCAAAAACCTGACACAGGCAGAAGCTTTAGGACCAACAAAAGCCATCCTGCTGCCATACTGGAGAGAGAAGCTTTAGACAAAGAGTAAGGAAGCCCAATATGTCAGGGAGTTTTAAAGCACACTTAGGTTTTGGCCAACATCTGTATGCAAAGGGAGACAGACAGGGCTTTCTGCTCTTGGATTTTTGCTTGAGGGTCAGCAAGATGGCTTAGTGGTTAAAGATGCTCTCTGCTAAGCTGATGGCCTCAATACACACAGAATCACACGGTACTCATTGACTACACACTGAATCAAAATGTAACAAGTTTTTTTTTATTTGAAAATTATAGATGATTCCTAGCACCCCACCACCCTGTGTTATTTGCTGTTTTGTGAGTGTAAGAAACAAACATTTAGCTATTAATTAGCATACAGCAAAGAAAGGTTGAAAATGGCCCAGAAGAGAAGGTGTTGGGAAACCCCTGCAAAGGCTCACTTGGCTGCTCTACTGGCTATTATCACACTGCACGGTCCTCAGACAGGGCCTCTGGACACACTTATTACTCTACTAGTTGACAGGCCAGAGTCCGAAGAGCTTCCTTAGGAGGTGGACTGCTCAGGAGACAAGAGGGCTTATGAGGCTGAGTGAAATGTAGTGGCTTCAGCTTCACTAGAAAGAACAGCAGGGGTCGTCTCTAAGGAGGAGGAGAAAGGAGGAAAGTCACGGTCGGACACTTATTTGCATCTTCATATGTCCTCAGACTCCTTGTCTCATAGCACAGGACTTTACTCGAGGCCTGCATCATCTGGGACCTGGCTCCTCGTGGTCATGGTCCCCCCACTTAGTTCTTCCTCCCCTAAACTGTCCCACCTGCTGATGTCACTTCCCTCAGACCTCATGAGGATTTGTGGGGATGGGGAGCCATGCAACCAGGGGAGTACGTCTGGAACAAGCATGAAGTTGAGGTGTGTCAAACCCAAGAAATCTCATCTTGAGACTGGCAGGAGTAGAGCCTGCACGCCCTAGCTCAGGTAGCCTGTACGGCTACCTCTGCCACCCTTGAAGTGTTCGTGTGGCCTGGCAGCCAGGTTACAGGTTAAACTTCCTCCATCCTAAGGTAAGTCCAGCATCTGAAATTCCTTTTTATGCAAGTAAGGCATTCCCAGCACCTTGGCCTCAGCCAGTGATCACTCCAGAAGCTTCTACCCACTCCCCAAAGGTTTAGATAGCCACCCCCCCAATTAAATGAGGTATCTCACTAAAGCTGTCTCTCAAAGGCTGTTTCTCATGCACTCACCACTGATTGAGGTTCTGCATTGTACCCATCCACCCTGGCTAAGATTTCCCTCCCTCCAGTCCAGCTCCTTAGGCAATGAGCCTGGATACCGATGGGAAAAGCAAACATGGTACAGCAGGGGTTGGCTCCCAGGCTGGCCTCGAACACAGAGATCTGCCTGTGTCTGCCTCCCGTGTGCTAGGACTAAAGGCATGTACCACCAGCACTCATATTTTTAAAGATTTACTTTTATTTTATGTGCATATTTGTCCGTTTGTATGTATGTATGTATGTGCGCCACATGCATGCAGTGTCCATGGAGGCCAGAAGAGAGTGTCAGATCTCTTGGAACTGGTGGTGGTGGTGAGCCACTCTGTGAGTGCTGGGGACCAAATTGAGTTCTCTGCAAGAGCAGTTAGTGCTTGCACCTACTGAGCCATCTCTCTGGCCCCTAATTTATTTTTAATTATGTGTGTGTGTATATGTGTGTGTGTGTGTATCTCTGTGTGTGTGTATGTATCTGTGTGTCTGTGTGTATCTGAGAGAAAGAGAGAGAGAGAGAGAGAGAGAGAGAGAGAGAGAGAGAGAGAGAGAGA